TTTTTTTACATTTCTTAGAAATAAACGAGGTCTTCAGGGGGAAGACCGTTTTAGACATTTATGTTGCATATCTCTAAAACTTCGTTTTGAATTTTGCATTTCAGATGGATACGAGTCAACAACTTTACAATACTCAATTTACTGTTAAAGATACTTGGTCCTATGCATGAGGAAACTCTAACAAAAAATTTGCTGGTGATTCAATTTTTTTTTTCTTGTGTTGCTTTTTTTGTGCGTTTTTTTATAGCCGACCTTCTCTACGATGTTGTGTATTAGAGAATTTACCGAAATTGATTTTTGTAAGTGCTGTTTAATAACTACAAGATGAGGGGCGTGGGGACACGGTACTCTTTTTGAGGGCTGGTAATAGAAAAGAATGAAGTTCACCTGATGTCACCGATTACTGGCTGTGTTTTTTGGCTGTGAACAATTCTGTTGTTTGATATTTGTTTACTGACTGCTTGCTGTTTAAGGTCTCGCTTTCTTAATGCTTTATTTTATTATCCTTGATTGAAGGTTTTTGTGAACTATTCCTTACGTTTTGCAATCAGAAGATTTGTAAATTATTTTCGTTGTGCTTCTAGGCAAGAAATGGTAATTTGAGTTTTTGTTTTCATTTATGGAAATAATTGGCTACAACAGATTTTGTTCTGTCAGAAGATGCGCTTGTTGATACAACGGAGCGTTACTTCATGATTTATTGTAATTCAGGTTGGTTTCTTTGCAAGAACAATGAGGCTTTCTAATGCTCCATTGATTTTTGGAAACATTCCTGGCGAAGTTACAGAAGTGAAATTGAATGTCTGCGTAGTCGGTGTGTCATTCTCTTAGAATTCGCATATAATTAAAGTGTCAAGGTAACAGGTGAAGAACAAAAGTTTCCCCAAGACTGACTTGGGTTTTCTTGCGTGTGTTGTAGAGAGACTCTATTGAAAAAAAAGACTCCTCCGTATGTACAGAAATTTGGGAGACATTCATTTCTGTGATTAATAAAGGTATATTGGATAAATTAAGTGACCGTTGGTGTTAGACTCGCTTTTTCATTTAGATTTTTCAGGGCGGTTAGAACGACGTACAGAAGAATCTTCAAGAAAGATCGAAGTGAAAAGCGTTTTCAGCCCAAACAGCGTTACTGATTAACTTCGGGACTTTAACCATCCGCTTCTCGTAGAAGGTGACGTGGTTGGAGCGGTCAACTAAGATGATGGTATGCGATCTGAAGAACTGTCAGAACTAGTCACTCAGAAGTGTTTTAAGACCGATTTTTTTGTCGCATTGCGAAGTGGTACCTCAGTGTTTGAGTCTAATTCTAAGGAGCAGTATAAGAAAGTCTAATACTTCATCTTTGACGATTCTTTCAATGTTGAGCAAACATACCTGGTGCCAAAACGTATGCCGTCTGGATACTGCACATGCAAGGCACTTCTATATTTACAAATCTCCCCAGAGCGGGCAAGCTGTTTATGGAGTTGCTCATCTGGATAACACCTGAATAGTGAAAGTAGTGGTAATTACAGAGTAGTTCTTGAGGTAGCAGTGGGAGTGACATTTCTCACTTTTAAGTACGAGGGGTTTTAAAAATTGAGTTAGGTGGTTAAATAAAAGCTTTTTAGTGTAAAACTTGTGCTCTAAAATGAAAAATTTAGTTGGTTTTCATATTTCAAACTAAGTTTTCAAATAAACATTTGGAATTTTCAGGCTCAAACTGTCGAATTACAGCGCTGGTTCACAGGTTGACTTTTCGATTAATGTAGTTTTTTCCCCAGGATGAGTCTAAGAATTTTTTTATATCGACAATTCGAGCTGCTAACATTTTTCGGTCTGTAACTACATTTAGTAGACGATTGATTAACTCCATTTTGCTTAAGCAATCAGATTTCTCTTCTTCAACAACTTGTTCCATCAGTTCGATGCCTCTTTTTACTTTCAGAAATGGCTTATTTGGCGGACAATTTCCAAATCCGTGTAGACCTGCATAAAAATTTGATTGAGGTTCCATTTGTTAGTTGCTTTTGAAAAAAAAAGCTATTTTTTGATGCTAATACTAGAACTGTAATTTACAAAGGAGCTTCGTGTGAAAAAGGTTCTGGCAGACTTGAAAAAGGGATTTGTTTACCATCGTTATAAATAATAGGTTCAACTTTTTCAACAAGTTGGTTGGCGAGTCCGCACATTTCATAGTTGTCTGCTTCGTCCCTTTAAAAGAGTTCAGGCTTTTTTGGACTCAAGTTTGTATGGGTGATGTTTTTTACAGTCAGTTTTTATACTTTATTAAATTCTGAGGAAGTGTATGGTAAGGGAATAACAACGAAATTTAGTAAAACCTTTGTAAGCAGAGTACTTGGAAAGCGTCGTACTTTTCGCACTGAGTTGAAAGCGACTGGCAGAACTCGTTTGGTCCCAGTCCTGATTGCAGAAAGCTCAGTGGGATTACTCCTGAAATTACTTTTTAAAAAGTCAGTATTTTTGCATACTGGTTGCTTATCTGCATTTTCCAACCTAGGGGATGACGATTGCAAATCGAACGTGAGAAACAAAATGAATTTCACCGTGTTGTTGGGGTTGTCGAACACGATAAGACATATGAGTAATTTAAAGGGAGAACTGAAGCAGTCTAAATTCAAATTAGTTCACTCAAAGATTCCTCAGATTTTGTGAGTGTTTGGTAGTAATGAATAGTACTGCTAATGTTTTTTGAAGGCATTATTATTTGGTCTGAAAGAAGTCGTGCGCTGTCTGCTAAGCAAATGGTAAAAAAGTGACTACTAACATTTGAGCTCGTAGTACGATACGTTTACTCAATCTAAAACCTAGACGTCTGCGAAGATAGAACTGCTCGAATTGTTTTTTTTCCCCCCCCCCCCTTCTTGTTTATTAGGTCTTTATTAAAATTTATTGGGCAAAATCACATAGACTACTGATCAAAAGATCAGGAGATCCAACCTCGACTAGGAGCATTGAGCTTTCGTTGATGAAAGGGAACCGTGATGGAAAGCAAATTACCAATACGACCTCCCTCATCCATGCACAACCAGGTCCCGCGACAGTCATTCTTTTCGTCGCGACCTGAAATGACTTCAGAAGACTGTTGTGATTTACAGAAGTCAATCCTCTGGAGGTTTTTCAGAATAACCCTCCAATATTTACCAATTTCTCAGCAAATTTTAGGCTATCGTTCAGGCAGTTTCAAATAATGTGTCAAAACTTTTCCCCATAATTAAAGTATAAGGTAGAAGTAAAAAAAGCAACCGGCTAGGATTCCTCGTTCCCAATCAGCAGCACTGGTCACTCGATCTAACTGTTCATCTCTGTTATTAACAAGCATCAATTTGTAGTTAGCGTTTGGATCATTATCAATGTTCAGGAAAGTCACGCACATCCCTCTGCTATCCTTTGTTTCTTTAAAAATTATTCGTTGATGAGGGTTGTTAAGCGCAATAAATTAAACGTTACAAACTATATTTAGACTAAAAGCAGAAAAGTGAGGGATAAAAACGAAAAGTGAATGAAAACAGAAAACTATAGGTCAGCTATGCAGCAGATTTTATTGAAAAACAGTAAATGTTATTGAACTTGTATACTGGAAATCTCACTGTCTTAGTTCATTTGCTGTCGTAGTTATCTTTTAATTAATCAATCTACCGTCAATGAGAAGAATTTATACACAAATGCAAGAAAACCACATACAAGGTTTGGTTTTTAGAAAATCAAAATAAAAAAAAAAAAAAAGAATTTAGCAGCTGCAATAATTTGATTCCAGGACAGTAGTGCAGGAAGGAGGAAGAAAAATTAGGTTTTTTGAAAGAAACCGTTTATTGTTTTTTTACTAATTCTCATTTTTATTTTAATTTTTTTGCTGCTGTATTTGTCTTGAAAATAAAAGTTTCTGCGAAAGCGAAAACTGATCAGTATGCTGGCAAACGCGAGGAAAACTATGGCATGTGTTACGTTGTTTCACCGTCTCATACTTTGGCTGCAGTTTCATCGGTTTCAATCATTACTTATATGGTTTACGGTTTACACTTCATTTTTCGATAAAAAACCTGTCATACTATATGGAGATTTGCCTGCCGCCTGTATTCGGTAGTAATTTTAGGCTGCCATTTTTGTATCAAAATGATTTAAGCAAGCATTTACTTAATATTAGTGAACAAATAGTTCAGAAAGATAAGAAACGACGTAAAACTACTTGGAAAATTTTCCGACGATAGGTCAATCATCTGCCGCAGCGCCAGTTTTTAGACTGCGGAAAGAATTTTTAAAAGAACGAAGAAACTGTTGTAAAATTTTGCATAAAAATTTTTCTGCTGAGGGGGAAAAAATTTTTTTCGATTTTTCAGGATAAAGTTTTTTCTACTCTTCATACTACGATTTATTTCCTCTGGAAAAGCAACTGCAGTACTGTTGCATATTCTTCTAAACCTCTACGGAACCCAGAGTACTAGAACTCTGCATTTCACGGTGCACAATTTATTGTTTTCTTCTCCCTTTATTAATAGCATTATTTCCTTTAAAGAGCAGCACCGCATCCTGTCTTGGTAAGAATCAGTTGCGGCAGTGTTTTAGCTACATGACTGCCTTTCAGCTTTTGTACTTCACCGAAATGCATTTACCGCTCAATAGATCAATATATACTGTATGCAAAACAAGAAATATGAGATATACAACAGCAGCAAATATCACTCACTACTGCAGAAATGCTAAATATAAAAGACGAAAGCGTAGCATCCGCACATAACCATTTGGTTGTTCTCCTTTCGCAACTATGGTTCTTCTCCAACGGCAGTTTTCCTCCCAATCCCCATCCAGACTTCTTATGCAAATGTTTTGCAAGAAAAAATTCTTGTACTTCGTAAATCCTTACATTCGTTTCCCAGATCATTTTAATCAGAAAGAATTGAGGCACAAAGTGGTCCATTTTATCAAAATGCGCAGTTTAAAAATTTCTGTTTTGAAGCAGATAGAAAAATCTTCACTTTGTGCGACCTTCGACAGTGGATCATTTTGGCAGCCGTGTGGTTGCTGGCAATAGGATCCCACTGGTTCTTGAGTCGGCGAACTCGCTTGTATTCCTGCTTCAATATAAAGTACCTATCTAGTATACCAACTCTATTGAGAACTGAAAAAGAATCACAGTATATTTTGTACGACTACTAAACAGCCTCTAAGTAAGAATTTCCTTCACCTCTCTGGTTTGGTCGGTGAAGACTGAAACTGTAAGTGCAACAAATATGTAGTTTCTTTGGCTTAGAGCAGTTTAATGCAAGCTATAATTTCCCTGGTATGAGTGATTTCTTCCAAAAAGTGCCTGCTGTTTGCAAATGCACAATATTAAAGTGCTAATATTTCAAGCAATTTTCCTATTAATATTACAATACTACGAGAATAATTGTTTCAAAGAGATTTCCTGTAGCGAAACTTCAAATCGACTTTTCTCAATATCTTGGTCCAGGTTTTACTGATTACGTCGTTTCATTACCATCGGCTTGTCGCTATTGCGTTTTAAAAACTCTCTTGTTCATTACAGTCATCTACTTTGGTTAAATTTCTAACCACCTTGTTTACTGTTGTCTGATTAAACTTCAAATTAATAAGTCATCTGTAATGAACCAGTTATTCTAATTAATTTCCTGGTAAAATAAGGGTACTAGACAATGAAATAAACAAAGTTGATTTGAAAACCATTCAGCAACTAACCTTCTTGGAACTTCAAATCTAGCTGCACATTAATGAACAATTTCTCCTCACTCTTTACACTAAAGTCGCCTTAAGCAAGACTTAACAATTGGGAACTTCAGCTTGTTGTTATAAACTAGTATTTGACTCTCAAAAAGCTGTTCTTGAATTTGATACGCGCTCTGTGGTTACAAATAGAAATGAAACATTTTGGTCACAACGGTTCAACAAATAACCTAAAAGTCCAAAAAATTTGTTTAAAATCTTTTTGACTTTGCAGTGAATTTACAGTAGCATATTCAAATATATACATATGGGCCATTCCATGCCAAATCGCACACTTTCCCTCTCATATCTCAGATGTTTCTTAAATTTTGCTGATAAATAGAGTCCAGGCGAACATAGAGAAAGCCGCGAAAAAAACTGGAATAAAGAATTCCTCGTCAAATTACACCTCTTCAAAGTTGCAAAATTTACAAGGTTGCCGCATACACACCTACCTTTGCAGACTTGTAATTTAGCCTTTTCTCAACAGAATTTAACAGCTTTTTATTTATTAGATTTCTCATGATCTAAATTTTTAGATTAAACGTTTTAATTCTGATAAAAAATTACATAGATACAATAAAAATAACATTTCAAATAAACATTTAAAAAAAGCGCGTCTTCAAATTTTTGTAAAAAAGACATATTTTGTGCAGAATTTTTTGCTCCACAAAATATTAAATTTTGGTGATGACGACTTTTTGGTATTCAGAACTAAGGGCCAGAAAGCGTTGCAAAACTGAAAAAAACCTGCTGTTTTTACAGTAGTCCCGTGTATTTCACATATCGAGACCGTCCTGAGCCGCTTTTGGACGCCACAGACACCTGCTGTAAAACACCAGCAAGCTTCACACGTTGAAAATTCGTTATAAAAGTTGTACTTTTTTTAAAAATATTAGCGAACTACTATCCTATAAAGTTGTTAGAAATAATTTTCACTCTAGATTTTTCTGCTTCTTGTACTTCGCAATTTCTGAACTTCTAGGATTATGTTCAGTGTACTTATTAAAATTTTGGTTACACAAACTCAACTTGTCGTTCCCTCTTTGAAAGTATGTGTCGTGATTCTCTAAAAACATAAAAAGTCTGAGGCAAACCTTAAAAACCTACCGCTTCACCTAGTTAGCATAGTGTTTCAAAGGTAAACCCCGGAAGGTTTTAGCTAACCAGGTGAAGCAGTAGGTTTTAGACTTCTTCGTGACTCCAAAATCCAAAACTTATTTACTTCTAACAGAATAAAATACAAGAAGCAGAAGGCACTAGAATAAAGTCCAATTATTACAAGTAGAATAATATTTGTTTATATTTTGATGTAAAATGCAACTTTTCTAACAAATTTTCAACATTTAAAGCATACCAGCTTTTTATAGCAGGTGTCTGCAGCCTTCAGAAGCGGCTCAGAATGGTCTCGATATGTAAAATACATGAGATTACTGTAAAAACAGCAGGTGGTTTGCAGTTTAACATTCCTTTCTAGCTTTTAGCTCTCAATACCAAAAAGTTGCTACTACCAAAACTTGATATGTTGCGGAGCGAAAAATCCTGCACAAAATTAATTTTTTAAAAAATCTGAAGACACGTTTTTTTTTTTCAAAGTTTGTTTGAAAGATTATTTTTGTTGTATCCATGTGATTTTTTATCAGACTCAAGACATTAACATGCGCTTAAACGAGAAATTTAATGAGTAAAAAATCTTTAATCCTATTAAAGACAGGCTAAATTACAAGTTTCCGAAGGTAGGTGTGTCGAGCGGCAACTTGGCAAATTTTGTGACTTTGAGGTGGTGGAACTTGGCCGGGAATTCATTTTTCCAAATTTTCTTTCGCCTTTCTCTATGCCAACCTAGACTCTACTAATCAGCAAAATTCAAAGAGAATCTGAGATATGGAGAAAAAAGTGTGCAACTTGGCAGTGGAATGGCCCATAAATACATATATGGGCCATTCCACTGCCAAGTTGCACACTTTTCTCCCGTTGCATCTTAGATTTTCTTTAAATTTTATTTATTAGTAGAGTCAAGGCGAGCATATAGAAAGCCGCAAAAGAAACCTGGAAAAGTGAATGCCCCGCGAAGATACACTCCCTCAAAGTGGCGAAATTTGCCAGATGCCACTTGACATGCCTCTCTTTACAGACTTGTAATTTAGCCCGTTCTCAATAAAATTTAGTGTTTTTTTGTTCATTGGACTGGATGTGGCATGTCCTGCACTTTTAAAAACATATTTATTCTTTTAATTTCGTTGGAAAATTATATAAACAAAAACAAAATTTCAAACAAACATTAAAAAAAACGAAGTTATAAATTGTTTAAAAAAAACATATTTTGTGCAGAATTTTCTGCTCTATGATTTTCTAATAAAATTAAAATAATAAACATGCATTTAAAAGTCCAGGACATGACAAATCCAATAAACAAAAAAGCATTAAATTTTACTGAGAACGAGCTAAATTACAAGTCTGTAAAGAGAGACGTTTCAAGTGGCAACCTGGCAAATTTCGCCACTTTGAGGGGGTGTTACTTCGCGGAGAATTCACTCTTTCAAGTTTTTTTTTTTGCGGCTTTCTCTATGCTCGCCGAGGCTCTACTAATCAGCAAAGTTTAAAGAAAATCTAAAATACGAAAGGAAGTGTGCGATTTGACGTGGAATGGAACATTTA